TGTTAACTATGTAATTGTTCTCCTGGTTCTGCTCACTTCACTTTGCATCAGTCCACATAAGTCTTCCCAGGGCTTTCTGAAACCATCCCTTTATCATTTCATACAGCACAATTGTATTCCATCACATAAATATACAACAGCTTGTTCAGCCATTCCCCAATTGAAGGGCATTACCTTAGTTTCCAATTCTTTGCCACCACAAAAAGAGCTGCTATACCCATTTTTGTATACATAGGCCCTTTTCCTTTTTCTTTGATCTCTTTGGGCTATAGACTTAGTAGTAGTATTTCTGGGTCAGAGGGTATGCATAGTTTATTTGCTTTTTGGGCATATACCCAAATCCAGAATGGCTGGACTAGACCATGGCTCTACCAGCAATGCATTAGTTTCCCTATATTCCCACATCCTCTCTAGCATTTGTCATTTTCCTTTTCTGTCATCTAAGCCAAGCTGATAGATGTAAGGTGGTATCTCAGAGTTATTTTAATTTTTATTTCTCTAATTCTTAGCAATATAGAGTATATTTTCATATGAAATGAGAGCTCTAATTTCTTCCTCTGAAAAATGCCTTTTTATATCCCATGACTATTAATCAATTGGGAAATTACTTTTATTCTTAAAAAAAGTTGGCTTAATTCCCTATATATTTGAGACTTTTATCAGAAAAACTTAATAATTTTCCCTTTCTTTGACTTTCTGGTCTCTCTTCCTCTTTCTTTCCATGTTTCTCCCTCTGCCTCTCCTGCTCTCTGTCCTTGTCTCTCTCTGTCTGTCTCTGACTTTTGCATTTCCATTCTCTCCCAAGGTCTCTTTGAAGAACTTTGGTATTATTTGTTAGACATGGGAGACACTGGTACAGGACTGCCCAGCATGGTGTGCCCTCATCAAAGAAGGCTCTGTGCTCTATGAGCAAAGCAGAATCACAGTAGCACAAAGGAAATGTGAGCTGTCCAAATCTAGAGACATCTTCACTCCAAATGTTCTAACAGACCCCTTGTGCCTGACTTGTGGTGGAGCCTTCCAAGCTTGTATTAGTCTGATCAACCATAGCAGAGCACACTGCCTGACCCCAATATCATAAGGCCATTGATCCTCTTTGAAAAATGAAGGACAAACAACACACATATTCCTTACCTTTACAGTAATGGAAGTAAAAGATGACTGAGAAATGCCCATAATTGTGTCATTGATATGCCATGGTGAGGGGAGAAACACACATTCCTGGAAGTTGATATTTAAGGTCTACATTATGTAATAAATGATAGGAGAAGCCCAGGGAATAAAGGAAGGGGACAGGAGAGTGGCAGGAAGTAAAGTCATATGACAATGAGTTGTACTCTCTGACCTTTACTTTCATCACAGAGTATATGTCTTTTGCAGCTGGAAATGTTGCAGGAAGTAATGGAGTAATAGCCTTTCCTCTTTGCCAGGAAACTTTCCTTGAAGCTAATGTTTTTCAGTACAGGAAATCCCAAACATTCAGTTTTGTCTGTATATAAACTTAGCTCACACAGTCCAGTGAGATGTCACGCTCAGAATGGGGACCCTGATGCTCTGCCAACCCTAAAGCACCTTCTGTGATTCCAAAGCCAGATGGGAGTGTGTTCAGTAGAGTTTTCATCCTGTGTCCTTGTTAGGGCTGGGGGAGGAGGAGATGGAAGGTGTCCTTTCTTCTTTTTAAATGTTTTATTAATGCTCTTTTTTTTTTCATACCACTTTCATGTCCCAATGATTCCTACTCCCCCCTCCAAAGAATACTCTCTTCTAACAAATAAATATACTTCAGCAAAACAAATAAACATGATGGCCACATCTGAAAATATGTGTACCTCAATCTTTTCCTGTAGTATACCACCTCTATGCTGAGAGACAGGAAGCTGCTATACTATTGGTCCTCTAAAATTAGGATAGGTCACTGCATTGATCAACATCCTGAAATTTCTCAGTGTTTTTCTTTTCCATTATATGATCATAATATGAATTGTTTTCCTGGTTCTACCAGATCATATTATTCTACCTAAGTTTCTCTTAATAGCTTCTATTAGTCTTTTTTTAAACCATATCTAAGACTTCACCAGTGTTAAGAACTCTGTAAGTAAAATTCCCTCGATGTGGACAGTAAATGACTTGCCCAGTATCTCACAGTCATATGGGTCAGAAGCAGGACTGGGACCCAAAAGTTTTCCTGAATCTGAGGCCAGTTAAGCCTGCTAAGCCACACTGACTTTCTATCATTTCTTTTAGCACAAGACTATCCCAACACAATCATGTGCTGTCCTTCTAATCTTGTATAAATATTAGGAATGTGTAGTAATCCTCAATGAACTAGGATATGTGATTAACCCAAATTCTCCATTCTTTGAACATACTCAGGCCTTTGGCCCTGTTCTTCCTTTAATTTTCTGCTTCCCCTTGGTCTGAAGAAAAATGAAAGCCTGGGTTATTAATATTATTGTTGTTGCTACTGTAGAGGGGACCTGTCTAAGGGACAGCCCAGAGCACACTCCTCCTACCCCTCACAGAGTGAGGAACAACTAGAACAATGCAATTGATGGAGCTTTCTTAGCGTAGATGTGGGTTGGGTTAACTGACTATGAAGTAGTTTAAGGGTGAATTTGAAGGAGAAAGGGGGAAAGGAATCATTTAAACAACAAGCACTTGTTAGGTTCTTACTATGTGGCAGGTTCTGTGCTCCTCTCTGACGATGAAATGAAAGGAAAACAAAAACAGTCCCTGCCCTGAAGGAGCTTACATACTAATCTATATATCTATAAATTAGGGCATTCAAGATAAATACAGAGTAGATGGAAGAGAACTGTATAGGAACTGCATAATTTCATCATTGAGATGAAAGTTCAAGGGGCTGGTGGAACCAGGAAGGCTTCCAACAGGAGGTAACATTCCAGCTGCATTCTGAAAGTTGTCAGGGAAGTCAGGAGGCAGAGGTGAAGAGAGAGATCATTCTTGGCATGGGGGACAGAAGTGCAAAGTCATAGGAGACAGGGCATCCTATTTGAGGAACAGCATAGAGGCCCAGTGTCTGCAGCATGTGAAGAGGAGTCAAGTGCAAGTCTGGGTCCAGGCTATGAAGAGCTTTAAATGCCAAACAAAATAATTGCTATTTGATCCCAGAAGTAATAGGGAGCCACTGGAGTTTGCTGTGCAGAGGGAATAGCCCAGTCGGATTTGCACTAAGAAAATCACTTTGGCAGCTGTGTGGAGGATGCATTGGAGTGGAAAGAGACTTGAATCAGGGAGACCAATTAGAATTATTGCATGATTATTGTATTTATTGCAAGAGGTGTTGGGATGTCTATGAAATGAACTGTAAAGAAAGAAATTATAAGATTTAGCAACTGTTTGGATGTGTGGGGTGAGTGAGAAAGAGGAGTTTGAGATGACACTGAAGTTTCAAACCTGAGTGGTGGCAGCCTCCACAGTAATGGAATAGTTCGGGAGAGAGAAGGACTTGGAGAGAAAGTTAATGAGTTCTGTCAGCAAAGAAGTCTGAGAAGGGGCTTACAGAGAGGAAAGAGGAGAACCAAGAGGGCAGAGCTATGAAAACTCAGAAGAAAGAGTATCGAGGACAGGGGTGGGGAACCTGCGGCCTTGAGGCCACAAGTGGCCTTCTAGGTCCTTAGGTGAGGCCTTTTGACTGAGTCCAAGTTTTACAGAACAAATCCTTTTATTAAGGGGATTTGTTGCGTTAAGTTTGGATTCAGTTAAAGGGCTGCACTTGAGGACCTAGAAGGTCACACGTGGCCTCGAGGCCGCAGGTTCCCCACCCTTGATCTAGAGGGACAAGATGATCAACAGAATCAAATGCTACAGAGAGGTCAAGAAAGATGAAGACTGATTTGGAATTAAGGGATTGTTGGTAATTTTGGAAAGAACAGTTTTAGTAGAATGATAATGTCAGAAGCCAGAGTACAGAGGGTTTAGAAGAGAATGAGATCAGGAGAGGAAGTAGAGGCATGTATAAGGAGTCTTTGAAAGGACTTTAACAGGGAAGGGAAGGATGATAGCTATCAGGGATGGTTGGCTCACGTGAGGTGTTTTTGAGGATGGAGGGGAGATATGAACATTTGTAGGTAACAGGGGAGAAGCCTGTAGCTACTGAGTGATTGAAGACTAGAGAGAAAGTAGGGATGATGGTGGAAGTAATTTGGTGGAGAAGATGAGTGTGGATGGGATCAAGGCTGCACGTTGTTCTTGGCAAGGAACAGGGCCACCTTGTCATCAGAGATTGGCATGAATGAAGTCATAGTGAGCGGTGAAGTCTGAGGGACTATTGCAATAGTTTTCTAATTAATCTCCCTGCCTCTAGTGTCTTCCCTCTCCAATACATCCTCTTAGGGATTTTCCTAAAGTATAGGTCCCCTTTGCTCAATAAACTCTGGTGACTCTCTGTTACTTCTAAAATTAAATATAAAGTCCTTTGTTTGGCATTTGAAGCTCTTTACAACCCGGCCCCTTCCTACCTTTCCAGTCGTCTTTCATTCCACTTCCCTCCATTAGTACCACAATGTTGCCAAACCAGCCTTCTTGCATACAGCAACCCATCTCCCATCTCCCACCTCCATGCCTTTACGTTGGCTGCTCCCCGGACCTACCTAGAATGCCTTCTCTCCTAACTTCTGACTCATAGAATCCTTGGCTTCCTTGAAGATTCCAGTCAAGCACCATCTTCTCAAGCCTTTTCTGGTTCCCTCAGCTGTTAGTGCCATCCCTTCTGAAGTTCCCTTCCATCTACTCTGTATTTATCTTGTATGTTCTGATTTCTATGTGGTGCCCAGCACACAGTCAAAAGGCTGCACCCAAGAACCCAGAAGGCCACATGTGGCCTCGAGGCCTCAGGTTCCCTATTCCTGTTCTACAGGTCACTGACTGACAGGCCTGCACAGAACATTCCACCCCTCAGAGGCCTCCCAACCTTTTCTGCCCACAGGGCTGAGATGTAGTGGCCCTTTTTATACCCACATACAACAGGACCAGAGACAGAAAGTTATTTAGTGAGTTTATTTTCATTTCATTTCAGAGGGGAAAAAAGGGTAGAAAACACATCCGGGTGTATAAAAAGTCAGGTCTGTACAAATTCCTCTATCTACAGGCACAGGAAGGTGGGAGCATCAGTGGCAGCAGCTGCAAGTCTCCATCTGGGAGGCTTTGCAGACACAGCCCTGGGCACACTTGGCACATCCTGCTGGGCAGCAGGAGCAGCAGCCTGAGAAGGAAAGACCGGAGGTGAGTGTGAGGGAACCTGGAAAGGTCTAGTCAAAGGGACGTAGCTCAGAAGAAATGGATGGATGCTGTATTATCAAGTATCCTAATGGGAAACTAAAGGGATTTTACATCCATAGGAAAAGAGCACCGCCTTAAATCTCACCTATGGACCTCCCGAGTTGATACTCAAGCGTCCCTCTAACATGGCAGTCAAGGACAGGGTAGTTCCAGCCATAGACAGTTCCTGTACCCCCTTCCCACTCCCACACTCCGTCTTCTACTCACTCTTCTTGCAGGATTTGCATCGGCAGGATTTACATTTGCAGGAGCCTGCACAGGTACAAGAGTCACCTGGGGAGAGAGAAAAGGAAAGAAAGACGATAAGCAAAGAAACAGCCCAGAGTTCTGGATACGCTTAAGGGTGGGAGGCACAAATTTGGGATTCTTCTTTATGTTTCATTCTCCAATCTCCACCATTAATCCCCTGCTTCCAGGGCCACCAAGAACAGGCTAGATATTTTCCCAGGCTTTCCTTAAATGCAGCACCAAACAAGGTGTTCCTGTGGCTTTCTCTAGAAAGCATCTCTCATCAGGAAGGAAACGGGTCCAAACCCTGATCATAATTATGCCCCATTATTGAGAGCCCCAAACATCACTGTCCCTGCTCTTCAGGGAGCACATTTCTAGAAAAGCTGCTAGGGTCTGCTATCTGTATAAAAAAATCCCTTCTCAAGTTTACTCCTAATTCTGAGGCTCGGACTGTTGAGCATATTTATGGTTCAGAGATTTGGCTTTACGACGCTGAGAAGGAGAAAACAAAACTTTTTACTACTTCATTTAAAGAAGAAACCACCACCCTCTCCATGCCCACAGCCTCTTTCCATCTAAGCCCCCAGCCGTCCTACCAAATCAAGGCCAGCACAGAGAGGAGACCCCAGCTCAGTAGATGTCTCCAGAACCCAGGAGTCCCTTACCATTCTCGCAGTTACAGTTGGGGTCCATTGCTGGTAGGTAGATGTCAGGTACGCAGCTCTCACAGGAGAATAGACGGAAGAAAGATGTTGTGAAGGAAAGAATCGCGGCTCCTCCTTTATAGTGAAAGGACTAGGAGAGTTGAGTGCAAAAGCCCCGCCCCTTTCCTCCTCCTCCTGCTCCTCCTCCCTCCCCAAGGCCAGCCTCCTGCACACAGCCCCGGCGTTGTGCTGACTCATGCACGTTGTCGGCCTCACGAGTACTTTTCCGAAGTCCAGGAGTGCTGAGTGCAAATCTCTGGGCCCGGGCACCAGATCTTGCCTCCCACGCAACAGGGGCTGTGTGCAGAGAACAGAACTCATACCACCCCCCCCACCCCCTCGTTCCTGAATAGCCAGTCAGTCCAACCAGTCCCTCACCCCCACATTTTCACCCTCCTATCACATTTCCAGTTTAACAAGAGATCCAAGTTTACTATAAAGGTCCCTACTGTCCTTTCTGTCAGCGGACATAAGGCCGGACTTTTCTATTCCCATAATTCTTAAGTATGAGTTTCCTTCTTCTCTATTATCCTTCCAGATTTCTTTAGGAATAAGTTGAGAATTCCTGAAATAGGTTAGGAATCCTCTTAGAGCAAGGGTTCTAAGGTCTGTCCATGGACAGATTCCAGGAGTCCTTGAACCTGTATGGAGGGGGGAAAATTACACCTTTATTTTCATGAACCTCTAGCTGAAATTTAGCATTTCTTTCATCAATTTAAAAAATATACATGCATATATATATATATATACATACATACATATATATATATACATACATACATATATTATTCTGAGAAGAGAGCCATGACACCAAAAAAATTAAGGAATTTTGATCTTAGGGAGGACTTGGAAGATATGTTCAAAGTCAGTTTGGGGCTGGTGCTTCCTTGGTTTGTATTGTATCTCATTTAAGTGAGTTTCTCATCCTTGGTCAGGATCCTCTAATCAGGTTACTACCACTCCTCTGTTTTCAAATCTAGGACACAGACTAATCCTGACCTGCCTTTGGGCATTGTGTCATAGGATCTAAGAGTTGAGAGAGAACTCAGACAGCGTCTAATCCAGGGTGTCATAACCTTTTCTTGTGTCCCAGACTGTCTTAGAAGTCTCATGAAGCATTTTAACCCCTTTTAAGAATAAGGTTCTTAAATGAATAAAACACAAAGGAAACCAATTCTACTGAAACACAGTTATTAAAATATAAGCACACAGACACTAGGTTAAGAATCCCCGCATTGCTGATCTCTCCCCTCCCTGTCTCAGCAGGAATCTCCCCTGGATTCCTTGCTTCTAGAGAAACTGGTATTAAATCATTCTTGCAACAGACATTTACTGAGCACCTGCTTGTTAAGGAGTGGCCCTGCCCTCAGTGGGGTGCTGAATATAGAGAAAAAAATAACCACAATCCCTATGTTTATGGTGCTTAAAGTCTAGTGGTGGAACATGACATGGCAACAAAATTATCTGTAAAGCATGACCCTTTGAATTCTAACATGCTAAGATTGATGAAATATCTACAATACAAGACAGTACAGTAGCTCATAATTATATAGTAAAGAGAGTTTTGCAAAAAGCGTTGGCTAATGCAAACATAGAAGACATCTGAGTCTGGATAGGGGAAGGGGCTTCTGTAGTTAACCATGTACACTTATTGAAGGAAAGAATTTGGGACCAGAGAGTAAAGCCCTGACAGGGCTGGGTTGGGGGAGGGGTGGTATGCCTTACTTCACCCACACACACATTCTTTGTCTCTCTCTCTCTCTCTCTCACACACACACACACACACACACACACACACACACACACACCCCTCCATGAAGTAATAATAATAATAATTGTTGTTGTTGTTCAGTCATTTCAGTTGTGTCTGACTCTTTGTCACCCCATTTGGTGTTTTCTTGACAAAAATGCTGGAGTGGTTTTCATTTCCTTCTCCAGTTCATTTTACAGATGAGGACACTGAGGCAAATAGAGTTAAGTGACTTACCCAGGGTCACACAGCTAGTAAGTGTCTGCGGCCAGATTTAAACTCAGGGAGATGAGTCTTCCTGACTTCAGCCCTGGCACTCTAGCCGCTGCACCACTGCGTTGCCCCCAAAATAATAGCTGATATTTATATGGTGTGTGCCATATTTATTTGCCAGGCACTGTGCTGAACACTTTACAGATATTATCTCATTTAATCCTCACTATGACCCTGGGAGGATTTTATCTACTTTTATCTTCATTTTACAGAGGAGAAAACTGAGGCAAACAGAGGTTACATGACTTACCCAACAAGGTCAAATTTGAACTCAGGCTTTCCTGACTCCAGGCCCAGAACTCTTATCATAGTGCCATCTAACTGCCTAAAAAAAATAGCAAAAAGGGGTTAGATTTTTAATCATCCTCTTTAAATATAGCTATAGGTACTCTAAATTTGAGATCCTTGACCTATAGCTAACAAATAAACATACTATTGGAGGAGATGTATTATATCAATTCTAGCATTCTTGCTATGAATGAAACTACAAAGAAGTTTCAGCTAAAGGGAAAGAAGGATCATAAGATACCCCTGGGAGGGTCAAAGAAAGAAGTTATCTGAGTTAGATTTTTCATAAGCCCAAAGGCAAAAAGAAACAGTTTGTGGGACCTTTGATCATCTCATATTGTAGTATCTATGACATGTATCTGAAAAAAAAAAGGGACCATGAAAATGATTGTAACATCAATTACAAAGGATGAAGAGGTGAATTCTCAGAAGACCTCCACAAAGCCCTCCAAATGAAATCTATATACAATCTGATACTTGGTGACTTCAGTGCAAATGTGGGAATAGATTAGATGAAGAGGGTGAAAAATACATCGAGGTCAACATTCATATTTAGAATTCCAATGGAAAGTTGTTCTCCCCATTCTCCCTCAGAAAAATGTCTCAGGGTCATTCCCTTTTGCAATGGAAATAACTTAGATAGAAATAGGGACTTGAACTTTTTAGGAAATAATGATAACATTAGGATACTTTGAATGTTTATTTCTAGCTTACCTCTGCAATTTATTGCAAATTCACTATTTTGCCTTGACCCTTAAACTCCTGGGAAAAATCTCTTCTTGTTTCTCAAATTATAATAATGTACATCTGTAATCTTAAACTGGTTTCTTTCATGTTACCCTAATTCCTGGGATTGTAGATAACAGTTTTCTGCATCCTGAAACCATTCTCATCCCAAACTGGCTGTATCATCTAGTCAGTCACTGACCTAGAATATCTGGGACCTGAAAATCTGAAATAATTCTGCAGTGCATCAGAACTGGGACTTTTCTGCATATCAATCAATCAATTAATTAACAAGCATTTCTTAAGCACCTACAGCCTGAGAATTCAAAAATAAACTCTCTCTCTTCCTAACTTCCCTATTACTATTGAGAGGATCACCATCCTCCTGGTTACCCAGGCTCACAACCCAGATGTCCTCCCTGATTCTTTATTCTCTCTCATTCCTCAATATCCAATCACCAGTCAAGTCACCTTCCCTCCATTTTTGTGACATCTTTCATTTATGTCCCCTTTTCTCCACTGATATGCCCACTACCCCGATGCAGGCCCTCATTACCTCATGCCTGGACTATTTCATAGCGTGCTGGTGGGTCTGCCTGCCTCAAGTCTCTCTTAACTCCTGTCCATTGTCCACTCAGTTGCCAAATTAATCTTCCTAAAGCGCAGGTCTGACTATTCTGCCCCCACCCCCACCCCCATATTCAATAAACTCCAGTGGCTCCCTAATACCTCCAGGATCTAATATAAAATCCTCTGTTTGTTTTTAAAAGTCCTACATAACCTGGCCTGCTTCTGCCTGTCCAGTCTTCTTATACCTTACTTCTCCCCCTCTACCCCCTGCCACCCCCAGAGTTTAGCCATCCCCCACTGCCTTATTTGGTGCTACAATCAACTTAAGTCTCCCAGGAGTTATCACCACCTCCACTGCCTTCCCTCCCACTAGCTCAAGTGGGCCCTCAAGCCTCTGGGCTCCTCAGGGAGCTGGTGGAGAGCCCTCTTTGGTGCTCCAACTCCTATTATCTATCAGGGAATTGCTACCTCTCTCTCCCTCACCCAGCTGATATGAGCAGGGAAGCCTTCGGATAAATGGAGACTCAGCTCAGGTTACAGAACTGAGGAGCATTCCCTTTCAGCTCCAGACTTCCTGAAACCTCTACTAAAACTAGGGAGAATAACCTTCAATGAATCTCATTAAGATATGATGTGGCTTGTTGCTTCCTGGGTTTATCACAAAATCACCCACGAAGAAGACAAACTCACTAAATATGGGGGGAGTTTGAATAAGAGAATCTGATCTATTCCCCTTTGCAAGCATTTTTTTCAGGAACTCCAAAGTAACCATAACTCATTTGCAAGAAGGAGTAGGGCACTAATTTAATGGAAAGTAGATGCACCTAGATAGCAAAGTGGATGGAGTACAGGCCTGGAGTCAGGACGTCTTCCTGAGTTAAAATCCTGCTTCAGACACTGTGTGATCCTGGGCAAGTCACTTAACCCTGTTTGCCTCAGTTTCCTCATCTGTCAAATGAGCTGGAGAAAGAAATGGCAGACTACTCCAATATCTTTGTCAGGAAAACCCCAAATAGATCATGAAGAGTCAGACATGACCAAAACGACTGAACAACAAAACAGCAGCTGAGATCTAGATCCTCGTGATGAAATCACCAAGCCTTGGATGTAGGCAAATATGACGTGCATATATTCCTATATCTGCACCCACACACATCTGGACAAGTGCCAAAGATGGACAATCTGCCAGAATAAAGTAGAAGGTCTCAATCGGATTGGTTCACCTTTGGGAAATGGTGTCACCTTTCAATGATGAGAACCTCTAGTTCTGTAAAAGCCCATCTTTTTCTTCAACGCTGACATTCTCCACATGGTTGTAAACTATTAATAGTAATGAAAATCTACAGAATACTTTCATGTCTGTGATGCGCTTTGCTTCTGTGATATCATTTAGCCATTCTCTCCCTTTAGGGATTTGAAGGGACAAAGGTGGAGAGCAGGAAGGGAGAGCTCAGGCCCCAC